CGCACATCAGCCAAACCAAGTGGAATACAACTTCCAGTCCAGCAGACGTCTCTGCGGATGTGTTGACGCCCGCTGCTTTGTGTCACAAGCATGTCCGCCCGCGGGATACTGAGACGAGTCTTTCATAAACAAAATATGGAGGAGAATGAGAAAATTTGCCCCCCGGCTCCATCTCAAGTCAGATGCTTGGATGCATTCTGGCTTTAAAAACAAAGTAGGTAAAAATGAAATTGATATGATGCCCGTAATTTGCAAAAGGACCACTGAGGCCATGTAAACGGCACTGATTATCCTTATTTTGTTATTTTAAGTTTGATGAATCCTAGGGCTGGGTATTGTTCAAAAATTTTCGGTTCTGGTACCAATACCGATACCTTCACTTCGATAACGATTCCTGAACGCTACTTTTTTCGATACCAGTTTTATAATATCAATTCGAAGAAAAAGAAAATTACACAACATAAAAAATTACAAATCTTGAGTTTTATTTTAAGCTCTGATTTTTCCATTTACATTTTTCCTCTTACATAAAAAAAAAATTTCAGTGTCTAATATTCACTGTTACATTGTGAGGACCTATTTACTTAGCAGTTTTCCTTTAGAAAAATTACCATGTCTGACAAACAAGCCCGTTGAATGGGATCCTACTGTCAGCGCACCGCTGGTATGGGGGGGTCAGAGCGGCTCCGACAGAAATATTGGAAGGCAGGATGAACTGACTGCACTGATTAAGTTTTCAGGTGGATTTTCCCACTTAAAAACATAATAAAACTACTTTATTCCCACTGATCACAGCAAATATAGCTGCAAGGCAAAGAAAGGATAGAGTAGCTCCGCCCAACGCGTGTCAAAGCCACTTTTCGACCGCGCAGCCAGAGCAGCAAAGCTTCTTCAGCCGCGCGTCAGAAGCTGGTACAAGCAGCAAAAAGGAAGCAGCAGATGTGATTTTGCTGCTCTTGCTGCGTCCAGTTCGAAAGCAGCATGATTCACTCCGCTCTGGCTTTGCTCCGCCCACGGGCTGCTGAGAGGAGGATGGTCGCGCTGGCTGCGGTCCGCTCTTCTTGCAGTCAAACACCGAGCAACTTTCTGCTCTTAAATTGTTTCCGTGCACAATGTATTTCATTGCGCAATATTGGCATCAGTCTTAATAAAGTGAAGGCGCACTTTTGACCTGGGGGGCATTTTAAAGGGGTTCCACGACGCTCGCAACCAGTTCACAACAGATACACATGAACCCTGGCTGTAGGCGTGACCACCTGTGTATTTTTCCTGGATGACGCAATCAGGTTAAGTGTTACAGCCAATCACCGAAACTTGGTACCGAAAGACGAGGCATGTTTCGATACTCTGTAGAACCGAAGCATTTCGGTCGGTACCATAAAAGAACCGAAGTTCGGTACCCAGCCCCAATGAATCCTAAGATCTTTTTGTCAGTGTGTCCACACCAGTAATAGTAATATTTCTGTCCAGTATTTGTTTTCATGGCAACACCTCCAAAAGTCGTTTCTATAAATACAGCTATGTATGAATTCAGTTGCTTTTAGTTATGTATCAATTGAAGACGCGATCCAGATCACAGTCAGCCACTGGTAAGGGCTGTATCCTTTTCTTACAGTGTTCAGGGAAAATAACGCAATGCATCGCGATGCATCGCAATATTTCATGTATCATGATGCATCGTGATAGAATCGCATCGTTGCATGTGACTCGTGATTCGAATCGATTAATGACCAATACCCACCCGTATTGAACACTAACTAACTAACTAACTAACTAACTAACTAACTAACTAACTAACTAACTAACTAACTAACTAACTAACTAACTAACTAACTAACTAACTAACTAACTAATGTGTGAGTTCCTCTGAGGACACAGTCTAGCAGTCATCATTTTATGGGATTCTTCATAAAGAAGATTGATTCTATTAAAAATAAGATAACTGGCTACATCCTGTATGATTGGTTTATCTCTGGAAGATGAGGTTACATCTGAGTGACTATGCACTCTGATCCGGCTTTAGACTGCTTTGATTCAGTTGAACTTTCAGAATTAGCTAAGCTATTATCTTCATGTAAGCCTTCTATCTGCATGTTAGATCCAGTTCAAAGCAAGTTATGAAAAAAGAATCCCTCTGATTTCCTCCTCTATTTCATATGTGAGTAATCTATCCCATTTACAGGAATATATACCTTAGGCTTTTAAGGTAGCTGATTTAAACCTTTACTTAAGAAACCAGATGATTTGGTCAATTATGAGTTTGTTTTGTTGGTTTTGCTGGAGGTTTCTTCCTGTTCAAAGGAAGTTTTTCCTCTCCACTGTCGCAGGATGTATGCTCGTGAAGGAGAGCTGATGAGTCAAGGACAAAAATGCAACCAAAAATCATCCCTGTAAGTTCATTCAGAAGGAGCATGTCTTGCAAGTCAATGACTGGATGGACTAAGTGGTTTTCTAAACCTATCTGGCTGTTTGTGTCTCTATAAAGTGCCTTGTGATGAAACTGGTTGTTCATTGGCTCTATAGAAATAAAATGAATTGAGAAATGTAAAAAGTAATAAAAAGGGACCTTAATTGCTAAAAATGTCAAATAGTTGTCACTAAAGCCTTTCAGCGAACTAGTTCATGTACTACACTAACTAGCTTTCATCTGTGACTCGTATGCACCTTGTTCTGATTAGGGGTGTAAATAATAATCGTTTTGTATCGATGCATCAATCCAACAGCCGCCGATCCGATGCATCGACACGTCCCCAAGATAATCGATTCATGTTTTTTTTTCCCTCCGGTCTATTTTTATCCATTTGCTCCTGGGCGTAGTTCTCCCTCCCGTGCTGCGGCCGCTAAACCTATTTTGCCCTCCTACCTCGCTTCCTGGTTATACTCCAGCAGCAGTGTCGCAGTAAGCTTGACGCAGACATTTTTGATTTATGCTCAATATGATGGTGGTCTGCGCTATATGCTGTGGGTCTAGATACGGCCGGGAGAGGAAGTGGGGGCGAGTTTGTCCGACAACAGAGGGACATAAGGGCCAAAAAAAAGCGGGGATCCAGTTGGAAAAAAGGATCCCAGCGTTCTGCCGCACCTCACTCTAGAGTCCTGCAACGGGTCGGGCGGATATTTTTTTAGTGCGGGCGGGTAGTTGGCGATTTTTTTTATTTTTATGCGTGTCTATTGTTATGGAAATCAGAAATGTTATTTTAATCAGGCACTGTCTGGGGTCACCCTTGTGGTAGCTTAAAGCCCTGCTGACAGTGTGGGGACTTCCCTCCAAAAAGGCCACAGTCAGTGCATACACGTCTGCTGCAGTGTTAATGGCGCTGTTCTGCAGCGCAGCGTACTATAGCCTATTACTTGACTTTTTAACGGGTCGGGTTGCGGGTTAAATATCAACGGGTCGGGTCGGGTTCGGATTTGAATTGAAGATATCCGCGGGTGACAGGTCGGGTTCGGTAGTCATCCTAACGGGTTCGGGCGGGTGCGGGTTGGTAAAACTCGACCCGTGCAGGACTCTACCTCACTCTTCTAGCTGGTCCAAATTCACGAGTTGTTGTGCAATTTCGGTCATAAAAACAAAACAAGCCGGCCTCCTGTCTGCGGCACTGTCTGCGGTCAGCTACAATATGGGAGAGGAGCAGCGGACTGTTTGTGGAGGGGGCGGGGACGGCCACATTCTGGAGCCGAGGTATTGCATTGCACTCATTGCACTGATTTTCTGCAGTATTTTTTTATGCAGAGCCTTTCAGAATCTATAACGCAGGGGCATTATTATTTTTCAGTGAATGAGGTTCTAATAGGAATATTTGGAGTACAACTTATCTACCTCTGTTATTTGCTGTTGTTTCTCAAAGGAAACAATATTACAGCTTTCATTGATGTATTTCAAGTTTGAAACATTGTCATAAGGTAAAAAAAAAAAAAAAAAAGAAAAGAAAATTAACCAAATAATCGAATCGAATCATGGTGTATTCTTGAGTATCGAAAATAATCAAATCGTTGGGTCAGGAAATCGATACTGAATCGAATCACCGTGATGGGTGTGATGTACACCCCTAGTTCTGATCATGGGTGATAAAACCACATTGTGATTTAAACAAGCTTCAAAGGGAAATAGAAGATCCATATGCTTTTGTTCACCTAACAACACAAACCAGAGCATAACCATTCCCTTCTCTACTTGTGCTGTATGCTAAGCCTTCACACTCAATTCTTGAAGTCAGATAAGGTTCTCAGCACAGTTTCATGCAGAGCTTGGAGTTTACATACTCCTGTTTTACCTGTAATGTGTTCCCATTGCTGTAGACATTCTCTGCAGCTGTTAGCTTCAACTGCAACTCTGTCATCACACACCAACACCTAGGGGCTTGTGTGTGAGTGTGAGTGTCTGTGTGTAACTGCATCTGTGTGGGATGTGTTGCAGGGTAGAACACAGGGATGGTGGAATGCCACAGTAAGTGGGAGGACGTTTCACACGGGGAGATCGGTTCCCTTGTTGTGCCACGCTACTTTGAACATCTTTGAAGCAAAGTACAACAGAATGACTGTCTGCCTTTGATACATGAACCGTCTCTGGTTAATTAGTAAATGTTTGCTGCCTTCCAGGATAGTTATTGCACAAAAGTAGAGGCTGAGGGATTTTTTTTTCTTGTCATCCTGTTGCCAGCTCAGACAATTTTCAAATGTTTCTTTCTTTGTTGGTTTTGGAGCAGTTGGCGCCTGCAGTAAGGTAGCTAATGTTAACTTTTGACTTGTTTCTTCAATCAGTCAAAATTAGGCTAATTGATTATAACAAACATCTAAATATTGTGACTTCTACTCGCAGGAATTGTCCAAATATGTCCAAACGACTTCTACATCCCGTTGAAAAGAGAAAGGTGAAAAAGACATTGAAGAGAGCACCTGAAGGTTCTGGTATTTTCAGAGTTGCTCTAAAAGTTCAGCTGGAACCAAACATTTGATTTTGTATTTAGGAGACATTACAACTAAAGTGGATGTTTTCTTACCTTGTACATTGTGCCTTCCTATGGTCCAGGGTTCATCTGCGTCAAAGTGTGTGTCCCCACCCATACCAGGTCCAGGGAAGTATGCGTGAGCCAGGAAACCCCCCTCGCCGTCAAACGGAGAGCTGTCACCGTGAAAACCCGAAGCAAAGAAGATCATGATGTCTGGCTCCTTACGGCGGCCATATTTGATTTCCTGGTAGGGGATTTCTTCAAATACCAGTGGGGTGACTCCCTCCCAGACCTTAAAGGCCCGTCGAACGGCATCATACGAGTTATACTCTCCAATTTTGGGAGTGAAGTTCTGAATGCTGAAGGTCCCAAAGAGGAGGAATGAAGGATTTCATGAGATTACAGAAATTCAACTCAGTGCTCCTTGACAAACACAAGTGTAAAGCCACCTAGGCTGCTGTGTATTTGTTTCCTTTCTGTTACCTGTAAGTGAGATGTCTTTTGCTCCATTTATGTCCAGTGAGAGCATAACGCTTCCGACGAACATTGGTTTTGATCTGCCTTCCAAACTTGTCAGGCACACCACATCTGGGTCTCTTCATGGCGCTGAATGGTTTAAAAAGATCACAAATAGGAAGAGGAGCTTTATAAACATGGAGAACCTCGGTAAGAGGACAACGGAAAAATTATATCATGCTTTGCAGTCCTGTGTTCTATATTTCCAACATAAAGCAGAGTCAAACCTTGATTAGCCAAAAATTGCTATCAAATATTTAGCCGCCTTGTTTTCATTGATGAGTAAACCTGTACTAAGACCTGCTGACCTGACGGTTTGGGAGTCCATCTGGCCAGTCACCTCCAGACCATAGAAGCGCTGCATGTCACTGATGGCGTTGGACAGGATCTGAGCTGATCGCATGGTGGACATCTGTCGGTTGGCCTGGGGCAGGTAGCCATACATCCTCAGCCACGACTGGACACAAGACAAGAAGGAAGAACGTCCATTACTGTGAGATGGTCCATCTGACTCTGGGCCCATTTCCCTGGAAAGTTGCACAGTCTAAGGGATCCCAATAAGCCTTTAAATCAGGATTGTCTGCCTTAGAGCTTTTCACATCAATGTGGAGAATTACAGCACCAAATAAAGGTGGTACAGGAAAAAAAAATATCTATCTGTTGTTTGTATTTAGCCTTTGATCACAATAAAAAAGAATGTGAAGAAATATGGTGAAGACAAACCAAACAACTCTTGGTTGTTTGAATGTAAAGGAGTTAAAGGAAGTACAAACCCGACCAGCAGAGACAGCTTAATGCTTGGTTCCATCTTGCCTCAGATATTAAAGAAGATAAAAGCGCAGTGGGTGTGTGTGTGTGTTGGGGGGTGGGGGTGGGGGTGGGGGTGGGGGGGGGTTGTTACTGACAGACATGAGGGAGAAGCTGCGAAATTTGACCCAATCCCAGATGACGCAAAATCTATCCCACCTGTTTTGTAGAAACCCAATATAGCAGCGGCGGCATGCACTTAGGCTCATGCAGAAAGCCCAAATATATTATAGATCTAGGGCAGTACAAACACACCAAGTGGTGGGAAAAAGGCTGAGTGTCTCTGTACAGGAATGAAGCTCTGTATCTATATGCCTACTGCTTTACAAATGAAACAAACAGGAGCCCTGATCACATGCTGCCCTACAGACTGGGTGGTGTGGAGCATGAACCCACTCAGTTAATTCAATAAACAAAGAGAGCCCCTTCAATTTCATTTTCCCTGTTTCCCCGCTTCAGTTCCTGCAGTCGCTAATGAAATTCAATAGGCAGTGAAAAGGTCAAAGGGTAAGGTGTACAACAGAGTAACCTCTGCTTACAGCCCCTCCTGTACACTTCTTCAAACATCACCACAAAGCTCTACTCTGTCTGCATGTTTCCTGCATATGTGTCCCTCACTCTTATAAAAGAGATATACCAGTTGACTCTGGGTATAATATGTACCTTATCTGAATCTAGGGTTTATATCAATTACCTAAGAAATAGGAGCCTTCAGTATAAAAGAACTCAACTTTTCACTCCCTGATCTTCTAGGTTTGGAAAGCAGAATGGCAGTAGCAGGGTCTGTAAGAGACTAAGACCTCCAACCCACACAACACACAGGACCACTGATTTATAAGACAGAAATCTCCTTTATGCAACTACCCTTTTTCAGTCCCATTACATTTTTTGTTAATTATAATCTTACAGAGTCGGTATCATCCCTCAGTATGCATAAAGGTGCAGCCTTTGCCCCTCAGGAGGCCTCAGCAGATAGTCGCTCACACTGAGCCTGGTTCTTCGACTTAGACAACTTTTTTTATTGTCATTATGTATAAGCAGAGTGCATACAAAATAAAATTTTATTTTGTACAGCTTTCATCACATTTCCACTCCTTAAACAGCATATTTTGTGGAATCGTCGAGAGCTGTATGAGGCCACTGCCGCCAGGCGCCGCCTTGATGATGAAATAAATGCTGGAGGTTTTCATCCTGTTCAAAGGGAGTTTTTCCTCTCCACTGTCGCTACAAGCATTCTTAGTGTGAGGGATTGATGAAGAGTCAATGAGTCGATGCAATCAGCTGGTTTTCCTTAGATAGAAAACTTTGAACCAATCTGACTGGATGATCTGGTTGAATTGTCTCTCTAAAGTCACAAAATGTGAATTGGCACTACAGAAATAAACTGAATTGAATTGAAAGACTATTCCTTTATTAAGAAAGTTTTTTATGGTATAACAACATAATGTGCACTGATTGTTGAAATAGAAATATATAATTGAAATGCAATATTTGCCCCAACATCATATTTCATGAGCCAAGCCCTGATTCTTTGACACCAACCATATATCAGTTTCAGTTGGATTGTATTTCAATACATTATGGGGAAATTGCAAAGATAGTTGCATTTTTTATCACACTTCTCAGGCTTTTCTATCAGTTAGTTAGCAAAAGTATCCAGAACGGTCTAGTATTGCACACTCAACTCTGGCTAAGTGCTCTTCCAGCTGTGTTTGTGTAATAATGCTTCTTTGTGCGCTTAGCTAAGAGTCTGCGCTCCACACTGATGCTTCACTCTCAGCAGTACGGCTCTTCCTTCTCTCGCTACTTAATAAACTATATGTTGCTGATCATCCTCTGCCAAGCGTAAAAAAAATCCTTTTGTCTAACTATCAAGATTTATTTCTTCCAGCTCACAAGAGGTGATGTTAAACATTCTAACATTTGTACTGAAAGAAATCCCTAAATCTTATCCAAAGCAAATATTAAATTGCCCTCTGTTTATTTTTGGCAAAGACCCAGATGAAAAGGTACATAGATCTTTGAATATTTCTCTCTCATAGTTCTTGTTTCTAATATTTTAATATATAACATTTTAGTACACATATTCGTGAAATTTAGGTCCTGATTGCCATGCTATTACCTGGTTTAATTTTATAAAAAGTCTTCTATAAGGAATCTTTGGCTATCCGATTATTAATAAAAAAAAAAAAATAATCCACAGATGAATCGGTTTAAAAAATATTTGTTAGTTGCAGCCCTAGTGCAATGCATAATTCATAGTAGATGTGTTTTCCTTTGGATGGAAACCTTGCTTGTCTAAAACCATTCTTTTATTGTAAATTTCGTTAGCTTGTCTATCTGCTAATTTAACTAATATAATGTGTTGAACTAGATCTGCTATTTTTATAAGTTTTGTGAGACATTTTTTTCTAAAGTAGGGCATGAATTCTTAAAAAAAAAAAGTTTACCTAAATTCTAGAAATCAATTTTTCTGCCCAACAGAAATGATGAACTGCAGGGCAGCAATGTTTCTCCAGCAGTTGTAGTATCTAAGCCAGAGCTCTCAGTCTGGTAGAGAATCTGGTTGTTATTCAAAGTTTTAAAGGTTCACTCTTTTATGAAGTGCAACATAAAACTGACTAAATCCTTTTTGAGATTTAGTTGACAAAAACAGACTAAAACAATCCCATATAGCAATGACTAAAATATGACTAAAACTAACGATAGTTTTCGCCTTGAAGGTGTACAGAGTAAAAAGGAATGGTGAGAGTATCGTCCCCTGTGGTGCTCCTCTGCTGCTGACCACTTGATTAGACTTCTGACCCTTCACTCTAACAAACTGTGGTCTGTTTGTTAGCTAGTTTCTGATTTATAGACGTGTGTCTGGATCTAAATACCCACATGACAGTACAGAAGGCAATTAATTGGGTGGATATCATGATTTTTACCAGGATAGGATCTTATGTTGACTTATTTGGATGAAGATTTGATGTATCAAAAAATCCATTTCCATTCACAACAACTCCCAAGTCTGCAATCAAAAAAATGCAAAGATAGTTATGATGAAGTTTTATCTGCCTGTTGATCAGTTATTTACATTCATATCAACTCAACAAACAATGCAAACATTTTTATTTCTAAGCTCTTACAAGCATTTTTAAAGATATAACGATAATAATAATATATCCTCTGGCCATTATAGCTTAGAGCATTGTCAGTTTCAAAGTAAAAGCATAAAGACCAGAATGAAAATTACTATTTTGGATAGATTACCATTTAATCCATGTGGATTTTTACTCCACCCGCAACAACAACCACGTTTCACTTTCCCCTTTAGTTCAATGACGGCTTTGAAGAAAAGACTTTTGACATGGATCACAAGATCCAGTTAAAAACCCAGAAAACTACCTAATAGTCTAAAACATGCCAAGAAAAAAATTAGGGATGCACAATATAATTGGCCCCCTATCGGTACTGGCCTTAAAACTGAATATGGGACATCGGCCACCCCACCGATATTTAACCCGATATTTGATCAGCTTCTGAGTTTCTAAAGTCTAAAGAAAGAAAAAAAAATATTACTTCTTCTTCTTCCTCAAAAACTTCTTTTTACAGACTTAAAAACTTCTAAAGACGAGGGAAAAAATATTGATACATTAAAATATCACAATTCCTTCATATGCTGATATA